ATCATTGACGTTGAGGTCAGGTATCCCCTCAGTTGCGCGCTAATTTGGTGACTGGCACGGTTGGCTCGTGGGTGTTTCTTTACTGCACCGACTACGTTGTAATGGCTGACGCGGGAGGTTGACCTGTGGGAGCGCCGGGGACGACGCTCAAAAGAGGAGGGAGGCTATGTAATACGATGGTGGTTTAGCCCTCGATATTGGTGAGGCGCCACTTTTGTACTTTGAATTAGCCCCCTTGTACCTCGCTGGGTGGGCTGGCCTTTTGGGCCATGCCAATAGCCCAGACACCTTCTCCGTGCTGAATATATATATTCTGCCCGAGTATTGTGTCTTCTTTCGTCTTCAGGGAGTCTCGGGACGCTACGACAGAATAGGAGTAATGTTGTAATAACTTCATTTGCAACTAAAATTAAAAAACATCGAATACAATGAAATAAAGTACACAAATAAAAGGAAATAAAGCGACATAAGCAGCCATCCCTCCTTTTTTGTGACCAAAATTCCCTTTCTGATTGTTTTGAACAGTGACTTAGTATTCACACATCTCACTGGCACTGCTTTTTCAAGGGTGATGTGTATGAGTGGGTCAGATCGTAGGTACCCATATTTGTATAGCCATTGACGTATCCACTGCAGATGGCATTATCCTCACTCCCATCTTTGCCCAATCCTTTCCCGGTTTCTGGGTCAAACCTTGCCCTATGAATTCCGGTGTACAGTTTAACGTCACACAGCCTTTCGAGGCCTTCCTCACAGTCGACCTCGGTCGTATTGTTCAACTGAGGCCAACCGGCAGCAATTTTGGACTTTAATTCTTCGATCGCCGCCGTTTTACTGATTTTGTATGCACAAGAATAAGCATCAGAAAATGCGCCATTAATAAAGTCTAAAAAGCCCTCATAGTCGACATTCCTTTTCGAGTTTCCCGTGTGCTTACGAAATTGGATATCTACTTTGCTGTCATTGAAGCTTTCCGTGTAGATGTTGCAATCCATGCATATCTTTCTAAGAGTCTTATCACTGCACATCGATGAACCCCTCTGGCAAAAATCGCAGAAGGCTAGAAAGGCGCATTGCAGGTCACCCATTGGAATCAAAACCCCGTGGGATGGGTCACTACGTTGTCAAATGGATCAATACAAAAGTCAATAGGGCCACATGTGTAGTACGATGGTGGTTTATCCCTCGGTATTGGTGAGGCGCCACTTTTGGTACTTTTGAATTAGCCTTCTTGTACCTCACTGGGTGGGCTGACCTTCGGGCCATGCCAGTAGCCCAAACACTTGCTCTATGCTGAATATATATTCTGCCGGAGTATTGCATCTTCTTTCGTCTTCAGGGAAGTCTTGGGACGCTATACATACATGTCCAGAATAACAATTACAAGTGTGTTGCGGATTTTCCCAAACGGAATTTAAAATGCTTGCTTTCACATATTTTCAGGTCTCTATTTAACCTATAAGAACCAACAACAATAAGTGAACTATTTGTTGGGTGTAGGCACAAGAGTTTTTTTAACTTTACAAAAATGTGTATTACAGATATTGGGAACTGGATTAGTGGCCCCCAAGAAAATCCCAAATACTCGAACTGTAAGTAATGCACGGTTACTCATCATCTTACAATCCCTTTTTTAAAAAGGTTTTTAAGCTTTGAATCATCTCACAAAAAAAATTTTTAGAATATATTTGTCTTTGCCTTTAGTATCAAAAAACTCAAACTGATGAAATATAGAGTTGTGTAAGCAGATAAATTAATTTTATAGACGTAAATTACTGCAAAAATCTACACTATAGTACGTTTTCCTCTTTTTACTTTTTACCATTGCTGCCTACTAAAGGGCACTATTGTTTTACTATGTCATGTTCATATAAAAGTAACTGTTAGACCTCTTCTAAATTAGCTTGTGATTTTTCGATTCCCAGATAATGATTCACGTTGCTGCATGTGGAGAAATGCCATTTGTTTCTAAGGTTCAAAGACCTCGGTCTGCTAGAGTGAAGTCATTGGGTCAGTCACCTAATAAATCGTCTAAACTTCCCCAAAGGACGCGTGCCTCTGAGGGCTTTCGGGGCCAAGGATTCAAGCGTCCCAGACTTTCATCTGTCTATGCTGACGCCTGCGCGGATGTAAAGCCGAGGGAGAACCGTTTCCATGACGTATTTTTGCGTTTACGGCGGTCACTCCTTCTCTTTAGGACAGAAAAACCTCTCTTTTATCATAATTCCCCCGGACGTTCAGCCTCAACTACTCAGTTGCAGAGGAAGACCTCACAAACGGTTAGAAGTGGTTATTCTCCGCAGTGCGGTTACTCTATTTGCGAGGCTTGTTGTCGAAAATGCGCTACCCTGGAGGCGATTTTAGAAGAGGATGTTGAAGATGAAGTCTTATCTACTGATATGGAGCAAATAATCCAACCGAAGGTGTCCACCTGTTTGCGAGATCTACGTACCCGCTATTCGTCTGCTCTTCAAGCATCCTGCACGAAAATCCTGTCCACATGATGCCTTCGTGAGCCCTCAGATTTTCCAACTCAGGCTTTGACTGCTTTTTTAAATGCATTTATTACTTTGTATACATTTAATGGTTTCAATGTGATAATAAATTCTTATTCTACCAAATTCAATTTGCGGGGTTTATTTATTTTGTTTCAATTTTTGGCTCCCATTGACTTAAATTGGGGAAGGTGGTAGTGGCATGATTTACTCGCATTTGATCACCTTTTGCCTAGCCTAGCTTTAACGAGGTTGGACTAATTCTGTGGGTGTGTTTCTCCGACCGAGGTATTAACCTTTTTCAGTGGGATTCCTACTTTCCACGCGCTTACATTTCCATAATTTATGCAACTGATTAGCTCATCTAATAGAACCCTACTAGGGGTTGAGGTGGTTTAATTTCGATGGGTTCGCTGGGAAAATCGTCGTTTCTTATTTTTGGTTATAAGAAATAGCTTATTTGCAGAACAACGATTTTGCATTGGTATCGGCGCTGATTCCCTCCAGTCGATTGCCCCCAATAGATAGGAAGTAGAACGGTTAAAGTGCTACTGAAACTGACTGGTCCTATGGTACCTCCGATCTCACACTTGTCAACACACCTTTTGTTCGTGCCAACAAATGGCTCGAACACGTGCAGGATTGCAAATAAATTACCAAATCAGTTCGACCCACCCAGAACGCGAGACAAGGGTGTGCTCTGGTGTGGCACTTGAATTAAAACTTTTTTGCCTCAAAGGAGTTGCGTATTAAACTGGGGAATCGTAACACCTTAGGCCTGGTTACTGTAACCCCTTAAAGTAGTCATGCGATGACATAATCGGTTTGAGAGGGCTGGGGTTTGGGTGGAGGGGTAGGGATGGATTGACCGCTCAAATCAGACTCCTCCTCCGTTATCCTGCCTTCTCTTCCCTTTTTTTACCATGAATTCAAGACGCGGAGACCATGAAATTTAATTGCTTTTATCTGATTAATGGTCATGGCATGCCGACACTATCTCACATGACTGTTACGTGACACGTGCCAGAGTAAAGCCGAGATCGTAGTGTCTAAAGATTTGAGGTCCAAATTTTCAATCTCTTTTCCCGTGGACACCCGATATCGCGACCTAATAATCGGGTTTTCAGCATTACTGGGTCAAGATTTTGACCTCCACTTCGCCCATAGGCATTGCTTCTTGACCCAGTCACTTAACGGGGCTAATGCTTTTTTTTGCCTCCTCCACGTGACAGTGTCACACCACCGGGTATTAATGCCACTGACCCCATTGTGTCCCCATACCTTTCCGCCGAGTAGCAGCCTTTACCAGATCGCAAGATTCGTGAATTGTTTCTTACTAGGTGGATTTAAATAATAATTCCTTTTTTTAGGAAATTGGCGACAAGACAAAAGTGGGTGAGGCATGGACCGATGAGAAGAAGCAGCACGCAAAATCACGTGACCAGGTGTGTACTTCAAAGCTAATGGGAGAGAGAGAGAGAGAGGTGATAGCGGGGCCCAGGCTTGGAGCTCACTCTCCTCTGATGGCATTTTTTTAAAATGCAAATTACAGCTCACGTGAAAGCAGTGTCAACACGACACCTCCTCTTCTCCTCTGCTGAATCAGCTTTCCAATGGCAGGACGAGGAAGGTGGAACGAATCGTGATCCAGTGAAGTGCCAACCGATTGATCGGAGCCCAGGTCAGTAATTGTAATAGGCTCTGCCTCGGTTTATTTATTTCTTCTAACCGATAAATAGTAAAGAAAAACAAAGAGGAATCTTCGATTTTCACAAGCTGTGTGCTGTTTCAAATCCACCCACATGTATGTTTCAGCACAGGTAGTTTTGTAAACAATGCAGCACTTGAAAGACCCATTCAACAGTGATTTATCGCGTTGTGGTAAGGACGGTTTTGTGAGCCAAAATATTGTCGAAAATGATTCAATTCACTCGAGGGTGCGCAAAAAAAACTTTCCGCTGTTAAAATTTACTGTTTGAAGCAGTATGTATCCCCCTCTAGCCTCCCCGTTTTCCCACTCCACGTGAGAAAATTCATCGGTGACGCCGTTACCGATTACGTGGCTTTATGTGAAGGAGTTGACTCACTTTGACGGCTAATTTGAATCGATTATTATTATTTGAGTTATTATTTAAGAGCGAAAATTTGGGAATTTTTAGGTAATTTTTTAATGGAAAAATGATTAGTTTGTGATATAAAAGGAGACAAATTGTTAACATTAATGAATTATTTAATTCCTGCGCCTGAAGTTGTTTAACTAGTCAATTACTAATCGATTGATCATCATCCCGACTTTGTAACAGGGTTCCCCCTGCTCGTGGCTAGGCTGTTCTGGAAATTCCGTGCATCGATCGCGGCGATCGATGGGGCACCGTCGTTTTGTCATGGGACGCTGAGAAGTGATAAAGCCGATTGAGAAGTAATTTCATTTTTTCCCTTTTCTGCAACGAATTTTTGATACTTAAGAAAGAACTTTTTCAATCAAAATTGCGTTTTTTTGCGTGCCTCTCCCAGTTTTTGGAAATAAGCCCTTTGCCAACTTGATTTTTATTTTTTATTAAGTAGAAGGAATTGGTGAAAAAAACTTCCTTTTTACGGGTGCTACGCCTCCATTAAACTCGTTTCTTGCATTTTGATGTGGAAAAGTTCTTCATTATCATGTAGCTGTACTTAAAACGCAAAATTGGAAGTAGGGGTGCATACTACTCGTGGTAAGTAAGTAGCAGAAGTACATACCTTATGAGCAGATGATATGAAAATGCGCGATTATTTTTTTTGTTTTTACTGAAAATACTGTGATGTGTCCGTATGCAAAAGGTGAAGTGACACCTGCTTCTTTCAAATCGGTGAAGATCTGCGGCACCTCTAAGCAATGGTCGCATTCACAACAGCATCGGTGACAAGAAATTAAGGGAAGAATTTGGACTAAAAGTTGGTGATTTTTCAGATTTGGTGTATTTGAGGCCTACCTCAGAATGATCTAGTAATCGGCGTCGTTCGAACATGGAAGGAAAAGGTCAAGTTGCATAAGTACCGTTCCAATGGAGTAGATGGAACTGATAAAACTAGTTTGTGAACGAAGCGTGAATTCCGGTAATTCGTTCCCGAAGGTTGAATTAACCTGATCAGGTGATAGCACGACCTAAATTGAAATGGCCAGGAATGAATTTAACACAGAAGCAGCGAAGGAAGAAGTGGAGAGCCCCTTCATCCATTTATTTATCCACCAGTTACGGCCCGATTGTTCCACCAATCTGGTCATCCATCCCATCGAATTCATCCATTTATCAACACCTTGTCTATCCCGTATTCATCCATTTATTTATCCCACCATTCATCATTCAGCTCTCGCTTCATATTTGCTTAGAAATCCCTGTTTTTGTAGCTAGTTTATTTTCCCTCTCACCGTGTTACTTTGTGCTCAACTCATTTTTCCAACCCTACTTAATGATTTGGCATATGCAAAAGACTTTTTCTCCCTTTTTTGCCTGACTTATTAATGCCAATAGCCAAGCAACGGCGGCAGCTTCACCTCTTTTAAGTTGACTAAGATGTGTAGGATGCAATCACTATCCTCTCCACTTCTGCTACTCCAGATGGTCATAAAAACCCTGCCACTATATGGTAACATTCTAGAGAGAAGGCAGAACGTCAGTTTCACGCTCCCCTTTGCATGCATCACTTGTCAACTTTGTTTTCAAGGTGAAGTGACTGCAGAGATCCGCATAATTATGCAACATCTCCTCTCTGCAAAAGAGAAGGTAGCCACTAAACACCTTTGTTTCCTTTTTGCCATTGCTTCTTACTTCTGTGGTTTATATCACATTCTAAAGGGCAAACATCCTCACACCTTTAGTTGGTCTTGTTGAAGGGGGGCCTTTATCCGACCCTTTGCCAATATGTGGCGTCTTCTGTAGACGGTGCTGTTTTTTTCTCACACGTTTAAGTTGATTATTCTTCGTCAAGGGAAAAACTTAAGATGAACGATTTCCTCTCCATTGAATCCTACGTACAGATAATTCGAGCAATTTCCTGAAGGTTAAGTGAGTTCCAAAATCTTTGGGGTGTCGAGAAGGTCAGTCGGGAATACCCTACCATAAGTGAACCTTCTCAGCATGATTTTTGACAAACTGTCAAACTCTACGATACGCTCATCTTTGAGTGGTATTGATAACGCATCCTTTTCATAATACCTTGAATGAATTCCTGCGGCTACAGCTCCTCGACCCTGTCATAGTAGGCTCGGATGTCATGGACAAGCTCCACGAACAACCACAATAGTCCCTTTTTTACCGGACCTTCAAATGCCACCTCTGGAGCTCTCATGCAACTTCAAGAGCCTTGAAGAGGAGAGGTTCCAAAGCCTTCCACACATTTTAAATGCCAGTCACTTGCTATGGAAACATCTGCCCAAAAGCTAAGCTGATTTAAATACAACGCCTCAGAATTACATATTACCGTCTGAGCATCCGACTTCCCTCCTCGAATTCAGTCACTCGAACCAGATAAATTCCTTCCATCATTGAAGCATCAAGCACTGCTGTCAAGTGCGTTCTGCCAGTGAAATATGGAAGCATTGGCCATGAGGATTGCAGAGCGTAGGCCAATATGGAAATGGTTTTCTTTTCAACCTACAAAATGGGAGAGAAGCCAGAGGCGTGGACATTAAGAGCAGAATATCATCCCTCGGTCGAGGGCGTCGCCTCCTGGAAGATTAGGAAATATTCGTGGTCCAGGCTAGCCCGCACGCCATGCTAACAAGCCTATTTACTTTTGACCTTCTGCAAACTTCCTTTTCGCCAAACTCTAATCAACCCAAGACTGACATCTAATGAGTCCCAAATTCGCTACTTCAGCAGTGTTGCATTCTGTTCTGATTTCGCGAGTTGGCACAAGAGCTCCACAAACAATTAAGCTGGGTGGAGGTACTTAAAGAGTCAAAGGTGTGAAGCACTTTATGGCGGTTAGATTAACTCCAAATGAGTGTTGTATGCGAATAAACAGTTTGCACCATCGTATTCCACCTACCTTATAAGTGCCTTTCAATGCAACTCCCCTATGCTTCACTTAAAAATGATCAATTGACAACTCTGTGACTTGAAAACAAAAGCATTGGCTTCACAGAGGGCGCCTAGCGATCCCCAACTAACGAGGACTTTTCCTCTTTTTTTCCTCCAAAAATTCCCTGATAATCATCCTCCTTCCCTTCGTAGGTGTCACTTTCAAATTGCTTAAATGTAGATGATATCCTCGCATGATTTATTCGCATCAATTGCACTGGAGGCGGCAAAGTACTAATTTACGGATTCTCTGTGGAGACAGTGGAGCATTTCTAAGTGGATGATGCATTAGAAGTCGTTGGTATTCTGATAAGATGGGTTGTTGGTGTAAATCACAGCAGCTCTGTGCAACATTGTGACTGGCACACCTTGTGAACTGCTCAAATGATGCATGTCAAGCATTCTATTGCACAGGCAAATGAGGTCTGCTCTCTCGTCAATGCGGGGCAATGCTATCCAGGTGGCACGACCTTTTCTGTCGACAGCTGTTTAGGTCGCACGTTGGAGACATTTATCCTCGCCACCGGTTTCTTGTTTAAAACCCAAAGTTCACTTTTTTTGGACATATGAGAGGTATAAAGGAAAAAAATGCACATCAGTGGGGAACAATTAGTACGCGCCATGGTAATGGCTCTTTTTGCCCCCCCCCCCCGAAATTCTCCCAACTCCGGCAAGTAGTATGATCTGCCATAATATTTTGAGCCACTACGAGTTCAGCGAGGGCTCTGAGGGGCAAAAGTGGCACAAATCACCAGAAAGGACCAGTTTTGGAAACGACTCCTAATGCTAATATAGCAGTGTTAGTAATCTAAGGAGAGGGTTGAAAAGATGCTTAGATTTGCTAATGAGGTTATCAAACCAAAATTTAGGAAAAACTTGAAACAGAATTTAAAATAAACTGGCTGAAAAAGACAGAAGTGCCAAAAATATGGCAAGATAATCTGAATTTATTCTCAGACCTCACAATGGCAAAAAATATTCAAGTTTGTAAGTGGTAATCCGTTTATTAGGCTCAGCACAATTAGGCAGAAAATTGATCCAATTCATGCTTTGTCTCAAATACGACTGACTTTCAATGTTTAGTAATGCGTTTTAATAAAATAATCCTGGTGCTAATTGACTATTTGAATACGCTAGCAAGACAGAGAGCAATACAAAATATTAGGTTATATTAAGGTTACGAAATACGAGATTATATATTGTGCAAGCTTGGCTTCTTGAGTTGCAATGCAAATACGTTTAATTTCTAATTCAAGTAATTGCAAGATTTGGCCTGGTAATCTGCATTAGCCAATAATCTTGAAAGCACTTGATTTTTCTTTACTCAGTGCACTTTAACGAGAACAAACTTCGACATGGAATTGTAGCTTCCACTAGGCCGTGTTTCATCACATTGATGCCACATATTTGTGCATATGCGGGGCATTTGATTGACTTGGTCGAATGTCGAATTGGCTCTTCGTGCACCATATTTTTCCGTAGTATTGCTAATGGCTAAATTTTCTACTCCCTCACCACCCCAGTCTCCCAAATTTGATGCAATTAGTGATATCCCTATTTTTGGAAGTGATGCGGAAGATGTTTGGGGTCTTGATGGTTTGTTCCAAATTGCCTGTTTATTTTGAACTAGTTTATAACAGTTGTTTTTTTTGAAGCTTCCTAGCAGTTGAATGCTCCACTCAACTATTCATTGCCTAATATATGGTCACTAATCTTGTGCTTTGTTCCAAAGCAACCCATATAATTTCCCTTCTCAAAAAGTTTCGTCTTTCTGTTTAGATTCTAAGGAAAATGCCGAATTTTATCCACACTGCCTTACTGATGACGAGCTAGTTCGTGCTCTAAAGTTTGGGCATTTTTGGTCATTTTCTGTCTTTTAGCACTTACTTAGGATCCCCTTCTCATGAATGCAAGTTTGGGTTTCCGAAAAATTTCTCATTGCTTTGGTATTTATGTTGATTTTTCATAATTCACCATTAGGAGCGTAATGTCACAACTGAAGTTTTCTCCTGATGTAAAAGGTGAGTTAGTGTTCAGTGGTGTGCATTATTTGCCAGACGCAAGATCAAACATTAGCGTTCTTCTACTGGATATTTGTGCTTCTTTTGAGTAAGACACTTCATTGTTATTATTTTATCTTAGAAAAATTGATCCTTTGTATGTACCTGATTTTCTTCGTCGGTTTCTGTACCTGATTAAAGGTGCACAAGCAATCATCACATCTACGGTTTGACATCGTTTACTTTATTCATCTTTCAGACTAATAATCTTATGTTACTCCACATTCGTCTTGACATTTTGACTATGTTTCTCAGGTTCACGGAGCAAGATCTCACCCTCTCTTTAAAGAACGTCCTAGAACTTGATCCATCCACCGCCAGCCCTCAGGAATACCTGATGGAATGGGTCTTTGACTTAGTGGTCTCTGATCCCTCTCTCTGCAACTGCTACTCCATCCTTTGGCTCATCCTAATTCGTCATGGAGAACGTGTAAGTCGTTCTGCTCATATTTCCAACGTTTGCAGACCTCAAAAGGATGGTACAAGTATCTTCACGGAAAGGTGGTTCAAATCCACTCAGGAAAGCGGAGAATTGTCAAAGGCAGTCTAGATGGTATTCGAGCGCGCACGAATGTGGTGAATCCTGCGGGAGCAGTGGACAAATTGCGACTTTGGCATGTGTACTGGTCAGCTCTGGTAGTCACAACTCCGCTATGTGAAAAAATTCGAGTAATTTTGGGTGACTCCGAGGTAAGAGGTCTTCTATCTACTATCTAATTTGTAATTTGTGAAAGAAAGCTTATTTGATCATTTGCTTGGCTTTGTAATTGGTGAAACTTTAAGCCAACTGTTTTTAATGTGCACTTAACTTTGTGCCATCGCTTTCTTAAATGGCTATGATGACTGCAAGATTGCCGTAAGTAGCATCTATTTTAAATGGAGAATTTATGAAGAGAAGGACAAATTTTTCTGCATGGAAAATGAATTTGTCCTTCATCACAACCCCCTGCCATGTTTATGCACCTGTGTTTCGGAATTGCACTTGTGTCTGCGAAGCTGCGGCACAAAGATAAGGAGCTGTCATGTCTACAGATTTTGCGGAGGTGTTGTGGTTTTCTCCCTCTCGTCTGTCCTCACTTCATCTTGGTTTACAAGACTAGAGTGGCTGTCAACAGTTGTCAGGTTGAGGCAATCGGAGTGGCTGACTAAACAACCCATTTAGGCGCAGTCTTTCTTTAAAGTACCAGCGAAGGCGGTCTAGTTCCTCGCTGAGGTCTAGTGGATGTTGTGCGTGTCATACATTTTATTGTCAACGTAAGGAAGAACTGCGTGGACCAGTGACAAAGCCGAATACCGCCAACAAGGAGGTAGAATCACGATGGCTTGCACAATTCCCAACTGTGACCGCTAACCAGCAGAAATGGAAGAAATTTTTGGCATTTTAGATTGCGTGATTCAAGACATTTCCTGCTTTACAATCCGCAGGATTGAAACAAACTCTAACATCCATCCTCTTCTTTCGCTAGCATCCGACAGTCCCCAATCCTATCTCCAGATTTTCTTCCGCCATTTGGATCATTCGCAACCAATTCCTTGGAGTGAGTTTTGAAACCTCCACTGTTGTGAGGTAACTGATGATGCCTTTTTCTTTTCAGGATAATCCTCCTCCCGAGGAGTCCATTCGTCACGCCTTGGAGTCGATCCTAGCCCTGCAGGCGGTCTGGGGTGCTAGTGTGGAGGTTGTGCGTTCACTGTGGCTCTATTTCAGTCGGAAACTCGTAAGGTCCTCTCCGGCACCCTCATGCCTTGTCTATCCATAAAATTTCTTCTATCGGCTTCATCATTCCATTTTTCCTTTTTTTAAACGCAGGACTTAATGACTGATCTGCGATCAAAAGACTCCAAATCACGCGTGATGGAGTAGGACTTCCCTTTTTCCAAATGTCGAGTTTTCCCTGATTTTAGGCTCCATCCTTTTACTCTTTTCTGTGACGTCACCATCCAAGCCTTTCTTTCTTATCCAACAGATGTGTTGAATATGTAAGTGGGTGAAATGGTTTTAATTTTGAAATGGTGATTACGGTTTGTAGTGTCCGAGTTGCTTTACCATCGCTGGCATGTCAGGGCGTTGCGAACTACTTTGTGCTCATTGAATGCCTCTTGAGGGCAGTTTTGAGGTCCCCTCAGACTCATACAGTTGCCTCTGAGCTGGTAAGATCTTACAATATAATTTTCTTTTAATGTGTCTCCATTTCGATCGACGGGATGGTCTTTTTCTGGCCTGCATTTTGATTGGTTGGATGTGCTGTGGTTTTCGTTGCCTACTTATTTGTCAAGACGACTTAGTTAAAATTTCATGTGGAAATAAAATTGAAGTTTTTTTTTCTGAAGACGGGGCACGAAGCTTTCAATTTATCCAAGAAAGGATACCCAATGATGACAGTTTGTATTGTGTTTTGCTTGTTCATTGAAGGGGGCGGGGCCCTCTTCCTATTGGCCACTCATTTGGCAGCCTGTGGTGACTTCCCAAGTTTTTGTAAAGCAAAAATGAACCAGAGACTAAAAATTATGTGTAATATTAGAAGTAATCTGCTTAAAGAACCAGTATTTTGTGGTGAGTGCCTAAGTTTTTACCGCTCTCATTGTGGGAGGCCTCTTTCCGTTGGTCGAGCCATTCGCCAGTCCTAGGTGAGGTTTTAGAAAGTATTGACAGTCCGTGCAGACGCAATTCTGCCCTTCATTTCTGTTAAAAACGTCTGATGTCATGCCTAATAGATATTCAATAAAATGTTTCTTTTATCTCTTTCCTAAGTTATGAGAATTTCGCTTCTTTCAACTGGTCTGATTATGGTAGGCTGTCTGAACAGTGATGACTCTTGGTTAACTACTCATGCCCTAATCCAACGCTGTCTTCGGATCTACGCAATGTTTGTAACTGTCAAATTTGAAAATTATATCTTTTTGCATTTGTATTCCGAAAAAAATGCAGATGAATTTCGTCGTATCCCTATTCGGTGGAATGGAGGAGGTTCAACAAAAGTGGTTTTGCAACTGGGAGGTCGGTCGACGTTGCGCCGCTCTGGAAGCCCTTCAAAATCTCCTTATCCTTGGTCTCCATAGCGATTTCAACATGAGCAGGGAGCTCGAGGAGTCTCTGATTCACCTCGTGCATCTTATGTGCCGTTTTAGGGAAGTTCTTGTTCAGTAAGTCCATACTTTCCCTAATCGCCTTTACGAATTTGAATTAATTCATCGTTGGTGTGAACCCAAATTGGGCCATTTAGTGTTTTGAGCATAAACTTTGCCTTTTGTGGGAGTTGATATCTTAAGTGTAATTTTTGCCTCCTGAATTACTTGTTTTTTCATTTTTAAAGGAGTCGTAAATTCTTGGTATTAGTGAGCTAGTAAATTAGCGTTGTTTGTGACTGGCAGTTCCAGCATGGAAGGAGTCAATACAACAGTGCGGGCGGGAGCTCAGAACTGACCTAGGGACTGTTTGGTTTGATGATAGAATGGTCGCTTAATGTTGGTTGATGTGTCGGACGGACAGCTCCTTCATAGCTGCGTTGTAGCCACAAGACAGATCAGAAAAGTGGGGAATAATTCGGGTAAGCTGAAGGGAGCTGTGTAATGGAGAGAAGTGGTGAATACATCCTTCCTAAGCTAACGTGATTTGGTGGAGTTGCTATCACGATGAAATTGAAATCGTTTCAAATGATTCGTTGCGACAAATAAAAAGTTTGACATCGGGAAAGACAGGAGGTCTTTAATGTTCGTCAGATAATACATCTACATCTACAGTTGCTATCATACTTCTTTGCTCTCCTTCAAAGATGTAAGATGTGCAAGCTCAGAGTGATTGGGGACTAGAAATGGATCTGCACCTAATCGTCGTGGAAGTCGATGCACAGGAGACCAAGAAGGCTAACTAGCTCGATGTGTAACTCATATCGTTTTCATCTCATGTCTTAAAATCTTAAATAGACGGACTTCTAAGACTATCAAAGAGCTACGAGACTGGGAGCGGAATTATGCCATCGACATGGAGGCATATGCCCCGAGAAACAATTAAAATTGGACTGTTTGTTTTTTTATTTCTTAGACAGGTGAAAAGTAATATGGTGGAATCGGGTGGGAATGTGAGCAACTTCACACTCCTTGGTTGCCGTGATAAATTGGAGCACCTGGCGCTCTCCTTCTGCCGGTCCCTTCTTCCAGACTTAGTCGGTCGAGCGGAGTGGCTTTCTCGACTGCTTGGTGAGATATTTTGGTTTCGGTTCCTCAAGTCCATCTACTCCGCGTTTGGATCCATTTAGATCTGCCCATTTGTTTAAATTCCCACCTCTGTTGCACTCATTCATCTCCGGTTTGGCAACCCGGTTCTATTCTCTCCACACCCCCATATTGGCCACATACTGCACGGATCCATTCATTCCTTAGGCATTCATCTGTCACTTTTGTATCCACCGACTTTTGATGCTCCCAGTTGTTGTCTTTTAACCCCCTAGAATTCATTCCTCCATTTCATCTACCTTTGCTGCTTCAAGTAAGATTTTAGGCTTCAAGACAGCGATGTGCGACGAGGGCCAACAAAACACCCAAAGTAGGAAACGGGGGTTATTTGAATTTTCGTCGTTCCAGTGGTTAAGAAATGCGGCCAAACTAGCCTTACGAAACAGCAATGGCGACAACAATGGTGATGAAGCGAGCATCGGCGGATTTCTGGGTGCGGCTCAGTACTGGAGACAACAGGGTTTTGAACAACACCATCAAAATTTTGAAAGGGATAAATAGGAACGCAACAGCACTACCCACATTGGTTCTATTCAGTTCTCCTTCCCTCGGGTTTTTTGAGTCGGATGGAATGACTTTCACAGTGGTTTGATGAAGCACTTCAATGGAAGCATGGATTTTTTCTCCTTGTTTTGGATGGTAGTCTTGAATTCTTCGTCGACGGTAACAGAAAGTGAGACGACATCCTAACTTCTCACTGGATGACTTTCTGTTTCAAGGTTTTTTTTTATCAATCCAAAATCATCTATGCATTCATCTCTTGTTTATCTACCCTGATTTACACTTTCACCCGTGAATTTATCAATTGCCTGATCCATTTACACAATTTTTAGTTCATGCAATCCTGCAACGATTCCCTTTGATGGTTAGCTGGTTTTTGAGCAGCTCCCCAAGACATCAAAGGCACTAACTCCCAGAATAACTTTTGTTGCTCGTGAAGTCTTTCCTGAAGTCATAGTGAGCCATGTCAGTATGAAAGAAGGTTTATTCTTAGAACGAGGAAGATGTAGGAGATTGGAAGGCCATTCTGCCAAGTTATTGTTGATAAGGTACCAACCGTGTCGAGATTTCCTACTGTCAATGCATTAGTAGCTTGACGTGGAGGTGTCGGACAATTCGTTGCAATACGTTTGCTTCAAGATTTTCCATTCATACAAATGAAGAATAGGCCTTCTCTTAATCCAAGACTGACAGCTAACCGACACTCTTTCCAATGGCGTGTTTTTACAACGCGCATGAAGGAGGTGGTAAAAAAAACATTAATAGTCCTCGAGGCTTGTGGCCTGCTATCCGTCATCCGGATGCTTGTGAGCGTAAGCTGTTTGTTCGGTAGCTTCCACTACGATGCTGCTTTTAATTTCAAACCGCGTTAAGTACGACTGACGCATTAATCTCGAGATAATCGTTTGATCAAACAAGGCAAGGAGGGTCTTTCCCCATTACCATGATATGTCTATCCTTGAGTGGTTCGCCTCTCTCTTTAAACACTTGATTCCCCCAGCTAAACTCCATTTGCAAGGCAGGTGGGGTCGGTTTACATGCAATAGAAGCAACTACCCAAAAGTGTTAGGAGGAGAGTAGCAAACTCTCAGAAGAAGTCCATCCGTAACGGTGTTCTGCTGACCCAGGCCAACGCCTTATGCTCCGTGCATTTTACAAATCCTCAAAAAACCGGGAAATTGCACCACCTCTTCGGCCACCGAATAAAAGATTGTGGCTGTTTTGTAACCGTGGCGACTCATGTGTTTGATCCCCATTTAGATTCCTCTCTTATCGACACGCTGTGTTCTTCGGTGCGTGGAGAATGGCTTTCCTTCCTGCATGATCTCTTGTCCTCTCAGTGGTGAGTTCAACTTCCTTCTTAAATCAACATCCAACACTTCATCGTCATTTGCGTCTTCACTCTTTAATTTCAGTCGTGGTTACGCCAATCACCCAGCCACCTGGAAAAGTAAGTTAAATCCATCTTTGGACATTTAGCCCCCTACCCTCCGCCTCATTTTCCAGCTCGGTTGTGGTCGGAGGTGTTGCCACACTTCCTCTCGCGTGCTTGCACCAACTCCTCTTGGGCGAAAGAGGCTGTTGAAGTGGCTCAACTTTTTACGCTTCTGGCTCATGCACCGTCGTCAAATCTGTCGCTATGGGACCTACTTTCCCGTTTCGTCTTCAAGACAGATTTATCATTCTCGTAAGCTGCTGTCTGTTCTGTCCTGATATTTATAAATGGTAGTGTTTAAATTAGCCTCAGAAAGGACGGGTTAGGCCATTTTTGACCCATCTGCAACATCTCCAGATTTCGTAGACTTTATCTTCGGCGTTTTTTCAACGATTCCGTTTCGCTGAAATGCCTTCTGTGCACCCAAATCACTGCAGTGAATGTGGAACAGGCTTGGCAGTTCTACGTCACCTGGTTGACCTATCGACTCATTGACGGTGCCGATGATTGTGGAGGTGTTCCCTCCCTACGTGTGATAGGGTGTGAATTGCCCGACGGAGTACTCACTCTGGTGGATACTGGAGATGCGGAGATTTCACTGCTTCGACTGTGTCAAAGATTTGAGGCAGTGAAGGTGAGTCCCCGTAGCTATTTTGCATCTGAATTGAGTCCACATAGATAGCGCTTAGGTAAAATGGATGGGAGGTTAAGTAGGTGGCTGGTTGGAAGATTGGATGGATGGAATGGTTGGGTAGATGGATGATCGGATGAGTTAGTGACTGACTAGGTCAGGATGGACCGATATACAAATAGCTGAATGGGTTGATAATGGAGTGGAATGGTGGACGAATTAGTCTATGGATTGCCTGGTGGATGGTTAATTGCTTTCTAGATGACTGGGTCTACCCGATTCACAATGGAATTGGAACAAGCACGGTAGTTAGTTGCTACCTGGCTGATGCGCCATTCCAATAGCGACACTAACGGACATGGAAGTGTTGTGATTGTTTATTAGTGAATGGGGTAGGTGCATCAACAAGACATGGATAGATGAAGGAATGTATATGGGGTTACTGGACCTGTTGGTAAATGAATGAGCGGACAGGCGGCTCGGTGGACATCTCGAGACACCTTTGAAGCGTTCGACTCGCTACTATATCCACAGTCGTTGGTAGGGGATATCAGGAATGGACTTGTGTTGAATGGATTACTCCTGTCTGATATAGGCCCTTAGGCAGCCCTTTGAAATGGTATCTCTCCGTATTCGCGAGATGATTACAACGGTTTCTTGTGGGCTTGACTGCAACGATGAAGGAATAGCTGTAAGACTTGTAAGGCAAATCGGAGATCCAAAATAGGATGGACATACGGATGAATTGGCGACCGACGATAACATTTGGGGATGGACGGTTTGATTACGCACTAATGGTTGGGCCAGGAGTGGATTGATTCTGATTCCTTGAAGTCCCGAGTCCCCTGTCTCCACCACATCAGTAATATGGACATTTTTGCGGTTCAAACTAATTCCATGGGGCGGAGGATGACGTTATTATTGTGCTCCCAAATATTGCTCCTTTTCTTTCCTGACTGGTAGGTGGACAGAATTTGCGTGGAGCTGTTTGGATGGATTAGATGAATTAATAAATTAGGGCCAGGTTTTTGGAATGTAGATGTCTAGGAGGATGTTTGTTTCGCCCTGTCGTATTGAAAAGTGCGATAGATGGATTTCTGAGGAATTTGTGGTTCTGTGGAGCGAGGTTTATCTTGAAGGAGTTGTCCGCCTTCCAGCCCTTTCCGTCGTCTTCGAAAATGTTTTGGCGCACTTGGCTACACTTCGCTCCCACTGCGACGATCCTCTTGCAACACATTCACTGGCACTAATAGCAGCGATTCTTGCAACCCTAACCGCGCACATTTATCTCTGAATTCCTCATTTGGGGGAAGTGGTTTCCACAAAGATCGTAGCGGAAAAGACGTTTTTTTTTAAAGGTCACTTTGAAAGGCTTGTAATTGCTTTTCATCTTTCCTTATTTTTCTTGAATGTTCTGACATTCATATAAACCCATTCTACAATTAATTTCCTTTGTAAAGAGGGGAAAATGGTCTAGGCTCATTCTTGGCCTAAAAAAGGAAGAGTTCTGGGGAGGGGAAGGAAATGCGCTCTCCTCTCGTAGGGTGGTAGAGCAAACGTTCGTCCGGGTTCGAGATGGTTTCAAAAGAACACTTTCTGAGATTTCTGTGAATTTACAGCAATTATGCGATGGACTAACACCACCACTTTGCTGTCGACTGTTCCACTACTCCTTTTTTTCCATTTTTTTTTAAAAAAAAACCCAACGTGGAGTCGGGTTAAATTGGTGCGCATGGATACCCGTGGAGGGGTCGCTGGCACCCCCCACCACCCTCAAGTCAGTCGAAGTTAAATAACATATCGTAAACAAAGAGCTTCTGTTCTGTGTCGTAAATGTGTTTTTGTTCTCTTGACGATCTCGATACATTTGTCGAGGTCCTTATCACCTGTGACATTTCGCCAAATTTTGTTGACAAGGGGCACTGCGGCATGCCTTAGGTGGATCTAGTGTGGAGAGATGGCTGGGTATTTGGTGAATGCATGACCCACTAAAGCCACTATTGCCTATCGTCAGCGCATTCCCACTTCTCCCTCCACTCCTCCCATCCCATTAGCCTTGTTTCCTCGAAAGCCGGAAGGAATTCGTTATATTTTGCTACTTTGCACAGACGCGAATGACCATTTAGCAGCTCTTGCACCTCTCCCATCTGCAGCCCTAAAGCAGTGAATCCAAGCGCACACCTTTCACTGCTTTAATTCCTGCATGAAGGGAAGATGCTCGACACAGGAATCTTGCTTTTTATTTAGAAGGGGAGATCCATGACAAGGAGGAACAGGTCATGCCACCATGGTTGCAAGGAGATCAGTGCTGCGAGTGTTTGCAACCGCAGAAAGCATCCTAGACTGTCTTGTGATCTCGTTCAGTTCCACCCATTCAACTTACAAGGCGACTTGAAATGTGCAGTCAGGTGATAGTCATGTACTCACGTTCAGATCTCACTCACCTTGATGGATAAGGTTTTCGGGTCATTCTGATTGAGAACTCCACAGCATCCATGTTCAGACATATCAACACAGGTTCATAAGACTCAGGATACGTCAAGACCATTGCACGCGTGACCTGCCAAAGTGGGTGGGTGAAGATATTCATGACCATGTGGCCTCCTTGGCTCTCCTAGCCTGAACGTCTCAGGTGTTCTTATGCCTGAGGCGTCGTTTAGAGGCTAACCAACAAATGCGTGTCGTCAAGCAGCGCAATAAATTGCTACTCGGTTGGTTTTTGGCAAACAGACTTTTACGTATCAAAGAGATGTGAAATGCAGCCTTGCCTGAGGTGAGTTAATTTAAATCGACTCATCCCTGGTTTAAACCACCCAGCTAACCTCGAGGAGTCAAATGGGATTGGAATCGTAGCCATGTGAAATCTCACCTCTTCTCCTGGTTGACGAGAAGTTGAACTGGAATTAAGTCACTTTAGGCTTATTAGAGTGCTTCACCTCATCCATTCACAGATCCTTCTACTCTGGCCGAAATACTCAGTATTTGCATTTCTAGACCTTTCAGGAACGCATGGCCTTCAAGTCAGATACTCTTCGTCGACTAACTCCACTAGCTCAACTATTAACTTCCATGATGGAGCGTTTCCTCACCACTTCCACACCTTCAGAGAGCGAAATCACCACAGCCTATCGAGCAAGTGCTTCTCTTTTCCAAGTTGCCTCTGCTCTTCTCTATTCTCCGGACGGCGTCTTTACTCACCTCTTCGATACCTTTTTGTTGCCGCCTTGGCGACGACTGACGAAGGAGTCTTTGGTCAAAAGAACTACTGTTCAGAGCTGTGTGGCGGAAAATTTGCCAGCAGTAGGTTGCTAACCCCATTTTTGTACGAGTGAGTAGCCAATAAGGAGGATATCTTGGTTAAAATTTTGAATATGATTGGTGAACAAATAGCCAATGAGAAGAATGCTCAAGCTCCGAAGTAGCCAACCAAATTGCGGAATTAGTGCAAATCCAAAGCTCTATTAGTTAAATGAGGTACAGTAAAAGCTGCTTCCATAATGTTCCATGGTTTTTCAACAATCCGTTAACCGCGTATGTAAGTTGAGGGAATAACTAAGGCTGAGTAATTATAAGCATTCAGTTAACCGACTAGAATACAGATTACTGAAATTACCAAGACATTCTATTTATCTCTGTAGCGTTTTGGGGGCTGTATTTTCGCAAAGCTTGTATAATTTCATGGGAATACGATTTGGTTATCAGATGCTGATGCGACCGTACTGCCAGAGATCCTCAATATCCACTAAAGTGGAACTGGGGATCGGCATGTGAAACGGCGATGGGGAAAGGGGTTGTCTAAGAACGGCGCTGTGCTTTTCAAGACAAATCATTTTATGCCGTCCTTTTATTCCACGAAACTACTTGATCACCTTATACCTTTGTTATCGAAGTAGATTGGCAACCCGTGCCGGAAGTTGACAAAGTTCCACTCCTTGTGGTCGATCGACTGATCGGTCTCTGATGCTTGCCTCAGAATTTGCGATTGTTTCGATCAAGTCACGTCTTTGCCTTTTCATTTCACCCAGTTCCTTCGTGGAATTGCACAACTGAACTTCCTCAAGGACCCCTTCATCGTTAGGATGCTGCGTGAACTCCTTCGAACTGTCTTTTTTTCTGTGGGAACCAATCACGTCGCGGTGATTTAAGAGATTTACGTTTTCTACACACTTTTCTAGATTCTCTCGTAGTGTTTTGGTATTTCTGGTTTTTGCAGTCTGCTGTACAAATGAGCGACCTGGCCTCTTACAGAGCACATGTGCTGAAGGTTTTGGCACAAGAATTCATCTCCCACCTGGAAGAACCATCTAACGGATGGAGTGAGAACGCGAAAATGGTAGGATGAGGCTATTTTGTTAATAACCGTGGGTCTGAGCCGTTTTCTCGTGTGTTGCGGGTTGAGCAATTAAAGGGGGGCTCGCATGACTGTTTTAGTGGATGAAATTCTTCGAAGAAATGGATGCGCGGACGATGACTTTGGGCCAGTGGCTGAGGTGAGTTTGTGAGCTACGATTTATGTGTCCCGTCTAATCATGGGTTTTTTTGAAGATGTGTTAGCGTCGATCTCAATGACATACAGTGGTTTGTGTTCTTCATCATTCAAATTGTTACGTGAATTCGTGACATGTTGAAATACAGGTAAACTATTTTGTCAGGAAAAACTCTCGTTCGTGTTTAATTCGGATGACGAATGAAACGATTCACTTGCATCTACATTAGGTGGGAAGAAAAGGTAAAGTCGTAGTGGAGGCTGTTGAGCAAATGGATGTCGCCCACATGCATTAGGATACCACATGCCGGATGACGAACCTCAAGGCCTGTCGACTAATTTCTCACTTCCTCCACGTGCGTTCTAAGTAGATGTCGTTGGGAAAGTATCGTTGGCCAGCCGATTGACTGCCTGACTGTCAGAAGGTTGATAAGAAAAGGCTTCTGTATTGTAACTTCCCTGAACTGAAGGAACACCTCATAGAGTGTCCGCAAAAGCTCTGCTCATTAGACCTCTGTGTCTCCAGGGCGTACACCAATTCACCCCTTCCCCCGAAGAACATGCTTGTGTGTGTGTGCGTTAGTCGTGAACCGTAGACGCAACTGAAGGTCATCCAACAACTACTGGTGAGGCCTATCCACTTACTACCCCACGACTCTAATGTGTCCTATGGGGTGGGGTTTTGAGTCGGCGCTGGGACTGTTCACTGACGCAGAAGAAGGCGTCATTCTAACAAGACAAGGCATGATCTCACAGATCATCCTGGTGCAGACCTTAATTGTAATAAGGCTTGTCACCTTGATTTCGGCTGGAAGGGAGTAAGGGAGGGAAGGAGGTACTGCCTCATCGTTCAAATTTCCTTGAGTTTGCATCTCAAGCAGATGATTCCCACCGCCTTTCAGCGTTTGCGAATTAGAAAAGACAGGAGATAAATTTGAGGTGGAAGCGGTGATGCCCAAAGCTACGTTGTTAGCATGGAACGTTGGGCAGCGTGGCGCAACTCGGAGGCTGCATCGACACTACCTTTTCTCACCCATACACGTAGCTAACTTACGCAGTTTCTCAGTTTTTGCGTTCTTTACCACCCTTTTCATATTTCAGAGATGCTCCGTACCTCCTTTGGCCAGTGGCAGAGCTACTAGCTGGCGAGAGGAACGCGAAATCTTCCACGTCCCTTAACAACCGCTGTGTCAGTGCTTTTAACACTTTTACTACAAGGTGGAAGAACGTGGATTCTGCTACGGACGACGGTGGTGATAGCGGAACTCTAAGGTAGGTATGAGTCTTGCTGCTAGCCTTCCCAACGGGAGAAGCCCATGGACATTTGGCTTCCTCTTGTTTACTTGCTATTTTGTTGGCCAGAACGCTTCTATGAATTGGTTACGGATGCGGAAGTATGGCAATTGGGAAGCAATTTTTCTGATGGTAAACATCCATCCTGGTGATTTTAGTAATGGGTAAATACCCATCCATCCATCACGTTTCCATCCACCATTTTTCGATCTTTTAGGCGAAAATCGGGTTCTTTTTGTTTATTTGCTCTTCCCTTTTTTTTGGTGAATTCACATTTCATGTATAATTGCTGCATAGTATTGCTTCTAGACGATGAAATTTAAAGCATGTGATTTTCTCAAGTGAAAGTTGTTACGTCCCCACTTTGTTTCGGTTTAGTGGAAGCATGGACCCTTTCTCGTAGTTTCCGGTTACTGATTGTCTCATTTCCGCTTGATTAGCCATTGCTGTCTGTGTCACTTTACCTGCGGTAGCCGCTGAAATTGCATTCAACAATGAATTAAGGTCGGGATGTAATGCCCTGAGATTTGATTGGAGGGTTTTGTCTGAGCGGCCGGAGACACCGCCCTCTCTCCCAATCACGGTGATCCACTGGCAGAGAGCACAAATTCAGACCCCTTTAATGGCATCAACCCCGCAGTGCCTCCTTTTTGAATATTTTCAATGTCGTATAGCACTGCCGTGTTTTGCTATCTCACTTTTGACGCAGGAAGTGATATTTGGGAGTTGGGCGTGTCGCATTGTCGATTCCGGAGTCAAGTAGTAAAACGTGCGCCGTGAAAGCCCTTTTTCCTGGGATATGTGCCTCGGCCGAGATGGATAGATACGGGAATAACCCCTGACTACTCTGTTTTCTGTAAAAATTACTTTTTGTCAGAAGTTAACTAACCGGCACGTTCTTTGACGTTTTGGCGATACTCGGTAAACAGTGAACCGGAGGCCACTTGCGGGGGGGAGGACCTCGTGTCCAGTCGACTTTGAAATGGGGAAGTGGTGTGGGTAATTTGCCTATGGCAAGTCTGTGGCTCATGTGATGCTGTTTTTGGATCTGTGAAAGGAAATTCAACACCACCGACGCCTCTCGCCTCCAGTTTAAAGGTGGCTAGCGCCTGGATATCACTTTGCTGCCCAAGGTTGTAAGGTAGCAAAAGGAGTTCTCTTGGCTTCTTTCGAACTATAAGTAATCGTGTGAAACTTTTTTTAGAGAATCATTTTTCCTTTTATTTGTTGAAAGACGAAGCCCTTTCCTAATCCGTTCCCAAAAGGCCAGTCTGGCAGCGAATGTCTCTTTTTGAGAAACTTCCTTTTCTCTGGAACTAAAAAAGAAAAAGTGGCACCACCTACCTCCGTTCTACTTTCCAGTCAACCAGTCCTTTTCCCATGTAATTGTCCTCTATCCAAGCTTTCTTCGAGGACAAGAGAAGAGGATGGGGCAGGGCCTTCTTTCTGCTTCATTCTGAGGTGTGAATCTGGCAGACACAAAGCCCTCGTGCAACTGATCTACTAGTCCCGGGTGCTTCTTTCACAGCCGTAATTGTTGTTATTTGGCATGTGAATGGTCGTGCCACGCACTCGCACACACCCATAAAGCATGTTCTTTGGGTGGATGAATTGGTGCACGCCCCAGAGGCGTGGACGGCTCCTGAGTGGACCTTCTGCGGATAATACATGGGGCACCCACTCGGCTAACAGAGGTTGCAGTACAGAAGCCTTTTCTTGTCACACTTCGGTCGGCCAGTCGGTTGGCCAACAATCCCTTCCCAACGATGTCTTTTTATGACGCATGTGAAGGAGGAGAAGAACTTGTTGACAGTCCCTGAGGCTCGTCGTCCGGCACTTGGGCGTCATACATTTGCTCAGCAGCTTCCACCACAGCTTTACCTTTTCACTTAACGTAGACGCAAGCGAACTGTTTTACTTATCACTCGAGGTAACCACGATTGGAGGTTCGTCTTGGCACCTCAGTTAGGATTTAGACCCTTCTCTGACCTGATCCGGAAAGGCGGGTCTTCCTTCTTTAACATGATGGAACTTTGCTTGAGTGGTTCTGTCTTCAAACATCACATACTACAGCTTCCCTTGCCAATTTGACAAGCAGCGTCTACGGCACACTCGGAAACAAGACGAGCTCGATTTGTAAAGCCGACAACCTGGAATCGCATCCATCAGGTCCAAGCGGCATTTTTTAAGGATTGGTGACTTGATGAAAGCAGTCGAGACCAAGATACAGAGTACAGCACCAAAGTATGTTTGACAAGTTCCTACAAGCTACATGACGTCATGGTGGAGATCTTCATGTAATCCATTTAAAGCAGAAGCTCGCAGTAGTTCATCCGACCCGGTGTCCAGAAAATATGGACAGTGGGCAAATTTTAATGGGAAATGGATTGGTGTTTGGTAAACTACCATCTCATTATTCTCGGATAAGATTAACTCCAGCAGTTGGCCAAGTTCTATTCATACACACACGCATATAGGAAAAAGCTCTCCTCTCTGTGCCCATCCTACGACCCATCAGTCAGTCGGCGGTGGAAGGGCCAGACGGACTGGTAATTTGACAACCTGAGGCGACCCTCGCAGACAAAACATACTTTTTACCCGAACAAACACGCAGCTCCAAATCACTGGTGTCCGTAAGCAAGAGACAGTTGTTATTTGTTGTTATTAGCACCAATCGCCACTCGTACAAGATTCGCTTTTGGCAATCGGAAAACGAGGTAACTCGTGTCAAGTATAATTAGAGAAATTTGAATTAGGACACTGTACCTCCAAACTTTGAATAGGTAATAGCAATTCCCTCTCCGCTCCCCTCTCGTGACAAAAATACGATGCCTTGTCAACACCTCTATGACTACTGACTGTTCTATAAATAACCTCCTGGTAACGGGCAGTTGATGTTGTTGGCCTTAAAGCGACTAGACCCACACTGCCCTACTCTCGTTAGTCTACCCTTCTTTTCCTTTGGATAGAAAGGACGTCATCACCAGCTTCCGCACCGTCTACCAATTGACAACCAAACCATCAACTGCCTGCGTCTTCAACAAACACTTGAAGAAGTGTGATCTTTGGTGAATAAAGTCATTCTTTCTGCTTGTTATGAGCAGAAAATAAATGGAAGGTGGGGG